GGAGCTACGTATATAGGGGCGTTACTTTGCTCAGCAGCAACTCTTGAAATCTTTGAAAAATCGTAAATGACTTCAGTTAGTTGCACAAGTTCATGTTTAACTCGTCGATCGGGCTCATAAATTCACTTGTCTATTGTCTACGACTTGGTTTCACCAACACAATTTTGCCTATAGCTTTTTTTACTCTTGAAAAAGGATATACACTCTCAGAATAGACGGTTGATATAATCACCGCGTTTTTTACACCTTAGGTTGGAACAATATTTGCAGTTCCACACCGGATAGCTCAAAATACTTTATCCATAGGTTGAAAAAAGAAGGAAAAAAAAAACTAGACAAGCCAATTCGTCCACCCACACTGATCTTTTCTCTCCGTTTCATGATTTTTCGTAGATTTTAACGTGTGTATAAAATATATGCTCCACTGCAGTGCTGTGTGTTCCTCCCCTCTGTACTACCCCTATATAAGTACACGAGGCAGCTTTAAACGCTCCTGAATAATGCCTCTGGATCTAGATTTATAGTCGCGTAGACGAGCGCGCGCCCTCTTGTCGGCGTTGTTCGACGAAACTTGATGGTTCTCTCTTTCGTTTTTGACTTTGCGAGAGAGTATTGGTACTCAAGGGTGAAACGGCATGCTCTTACGAAAATCCTATGTGTGGTGATTAATTATACTCATGCGTTTCCTCAAGATTATGTATACCACTGCTATTGGAACAGAAAAATTTACACCATGGGATATTATACACAAGGACCATTTGTCCCTCGTACAGTGTACATCCTTAATATATATTCGAGCCAAATGCATCCTGCAAGGGATTATTGAAAGTTCGTGTATGGTTTTTCTTACGTGTGCCATCGAGGAAAATTGATAAATTTTCAGATTTCACTTGGGAGGTCTAGCCGAGATAGTTTCTTATGTATGCAGCCTTTTTTTTTTTTTTTTTCTATTACAAAATCATACCTGATTCGGATTAGCCCTAATAAAAGTATCTTTATCTCATAACTATCGATAATTTAACATATGTACCTATAAAACTTATACAACTGCAAAAAATGTTGAAAGCACAAACGAAAACTAAACAATGAGTTGCCTATAAATCCAAAAACAATTGACATACAAAACCATAGAACGAGAGAGACTGTTATTCTATAACTGAGGTAAATTGGATACTTGAATAACGATGACTACATGTATGTGGATATAAGTGTCAGAGAGGGAAAGAAAAAAAAAGAAAACTACGTGCAATGTATACAAGATTAAATATATATTCACAAGAAAAATCGACAGGAAATAAAAATGTTACATCTCAACTCTGTATATTAAGATTAGTATGTAAGAATTAATTAGTAAATTGACCATTTTTGTTTGTTTTTTTTTTTTTTTTAAATTGTACACCAGCCTGTGAACAGGTAAAAGCGTTTACCTCTACAGGATAACAATTGCAATATCATTGCTATTGTTTTGTATTACTTTTATAACACTGCCGTCCCAGGGAAGAAAGTCGTTAAGTGCACTTTATTCAGAACTGAAAAAATCGAAAAAAACTAATTGTTTTCAAAATGTGATAATAAATGGAATATTTTAATCGCAGAAGTGATGATTCTGGGGTACAAATAGCACGATCGTTGCATTAATCACCAAAAAAAGTCGATTTTCCAACGGGAAATTTGAAAAACTGTACTTACACTTTTTGCTCGGCGCAATTTCCTTCGAAAGAAAGGCGTCAAGTGCACTTAATGACTTTTTTGGCTGCAAAGACCCCCCTAAAACCAATGCGTTTGCAATACAAGAAAGTCATCAAGTATAATCACGCCCCTAGTCGTCATCTGTTCTGCACTTACGGCCTTTTTTCCGCTTTTTTCTTTGTAAGCAAAGCCCCAGCTCATGCTACTTCCAGAGCAAAAACCTCCTAATGTACATAACGACTTTTTTATTTTTGAATTCATACGCTTTCTTGTTGACTTCACAGAGTAAAAAGGGCATTAAGTGCTCTTACTCCTTCTTGCCGACGCAAATTCCAAATTTCATGTCACTTATACCCTCCTTTAGGTGTCAGATCAAAGTTTTTTTAATAACTTTAGTAACATTCAATAAATTGTTACAAATAATTGAAAAACTCTTCACAATTTTTACAAACACAGTTAGATTGGAAATCACCTTACGAATCGATTGATATAAAAAAACTCATTTTCGCCCAAAATGTCACTTAACGACTTTCTTCTCTGGGACGGCAGAACAGGTTTGACCATTTTCCACAAAAAGTCACCCAATACAACACACAAATAAACGTACACACCTAAAAAATCTACCCCCCCCTTCCCCCTCTTGCCCCATGGATCTCTAGTTTGAACAAACAACAAATTTAGTTAAGCTAACGAAAACCCAGAATCTCACCACGCACGTGCAACACTATAACGCATTCTCCTATATACCGCGCAAACGTACTCCCAGAGCCCAAACATATACACACACATGTATCCGACAAACAAAACAATAAACCTCCGTCGACGCGTGGCCGCAATAAATCCCCGACATACGCTATTACACGCACGGAATATGAGATCTCTCGACATTATACGTCCCAAAGAGAGAGAGAGAGAGAGAGGGACCATCAGCAACTTTGGCTCTCCCGCTGCAGCAGCATCATCGTCGCATTAACCGTCGTCACCTCGCCACTATAACGTGGATTTCAATTTCGCATCCAATCCCCTATATATATATACACACCCTCACCGTGTACGTATCTGCCCGCAGTCACCCCCGTATCCTCGTAACTCCGCCCCCGCGTCCTTTCGCACACACGTCAGGAGCTAATTGATATAAACGTCGGCCGGCGGTGGTTAATATACTTGTCATATATAGCCTTCCTCCTCCGACGAGGGGTCGGGGGTGGAGTGTGTATAAACGCGCCCCCGAGGGCTGAAATGAGCGAGGGACCCATTTTGAGGCTGGGCTCGAATATTGGATGCTCTCTGCGGTATAATATCGTCGAAAAAAATTATNAATTTGAAATATATATATATATATATATATATATATATATATCTGTGGCTTCCCTGACAAACCGATTAACTCCATTTTTTTCAAAATTTAGTTGGTACCGGAAAGCACATCCTTTTTCAGTCTACTTTCGTCCAAACAAACTTTTGAAATGATCCGAGTTACCAAGTTTCCTTTTTTTGAATATTCACAAATTGGAATAAGAGAAAATTAGTTCCACGTTTCCGGCCTAACCGATCAACTCCAAAAGCGACTCGTAAAATTATAGTCTTGTGTTAGTACCTAACGCTATAGTGTACAGAAAGAAGCGCTCAGTTTCTGCGCTGTGAAAAAGTAGCTTTTCAATCTTTAGAAGCCGTTAATTTTTCTCGTAAATCACAAAAATGGAATTAATCGGTTTGTCCGAGAAGCCACAGGTGTTTCCTACGATTCCAAAGCTATATCCAATTTGGTCATATTGTTTCGCTTAGATTGTCCCCATACGCACCCCCGAACCAGTATGAAAAAAAAAAAAAAAAAAAACGAATTATCGCAGGGAACAGTTAACCACACGCGTTATATTACTGTCCACGTAAACCGATAAAAAAAAAATTAGGGGAAGGAGATGGTCACGAATAGGTATAAACACAGGCGAACGTACATTCTTCAGCCCACCCCATCGACCCGAAGAAGAAGGTCATTGTACAAAGTCACAAAGGTAAATTTTTCCCGTCTCGAGCGAAACAGTGACGGGAGAGACAGTAGTACATGCAATATATATATATATATACTTGCCCTTCGCTGATTGTAGAGACACGCCAACTCGCACGCCCTTTTATTAACATATGAAAGCTCTCGCGGCTTCGGTGCCCTGATGGCGAGGTTGTCGCTCTCGTGGCTTCGGATTTTTCTCACACCCATTGGATATGCCTTCGTTTCGTTGGGCCAACTCGCGTGAGACGCAAAATTAAAAAACAAACAAAACAAAAAAAAAAAAAATGGTAGAATGAAGATTACGAGGTGAAAATTTAAATCTATAATATTGTGTTATGTATATGTAACGAAGGACTCCCGTGGACTCGGGGCTTTGCATAAGATTTGAAGCTTCGAGCGCGCCCGGATCAGTGAAATAATAAAAGAATACACGGTTCGTACGTATAATATATATATATACACCCTATCGTGCGATTATTCATGACCTCGTGATTTCGGTCCGTCTCGCCCCTTGGGCTCTTGTGTACATGTGTATCTTAATGTCTTTATCGTTTATGGTTCGCAGTTTAACGCGCTTCGTCTGATCCCTGCATTGCACAAGCTTGTGGAATCCCTTAGAAATCACCCCCCATCCGATGTGACGATCACTTACGCGATTACACGCAGCTCGGGTAATTCGATTTTACTTTTCCGCTTTTCCTCCAGAATCGACATTCATTTCTCTTATGAACGTCTTATCTTTTTTTTTTTTTTTTTTTGGCCTCTCTCTTGTAGATACGCAGTTTCATATCGTCATACATGGTTACTGAACAATTTTTTAAGGTTGTTGCAGTGTGTAGTGAGAAAAATTTTTGTCAATTTTTGGAAAAAAGATACTGTAACGAAAAACACGTACAATGCCAAGCTCGTTTGCGCGTTACATATAAAATACGAGGTAATCAATAAAATATCGATTTATCTTGTCATTGAAGGTGAATCTCGTACTGCCTTGTACATGATTTTTCAGAATTTTTTATAATTCAAGGAATAATATGCCCAGAAATCTTGAGATGACATTATTTATGTCATATCGATAAGCTGTTGAATGTTTTGTCCTTGTGAATTTTATGTCGTTTTCGGAATTGGTGTTGATTCATTAATATATATATATATCGTTTTCTAGCTACAAGTAATCTAATAAAATCATGTAGGTAAATTTATACTTTGAGGAGATTATATAAAAAATGTATCCACAAAAGTACAACACAATAGTGCATATAACATATAACAAATGATGTATGGTCACGTAACTTTTCGCATGATATCAAAAGGTGGACAAAGAATATGATATCAGTGCTGTCGTTATGACCGATTGGATTTTTGGTAACGTTTTGGAAAATCCAGAGGTATAGGCACTAAAAAATTTCAGCTCTTCCTCCGTAGGAACAACGTCTTGCACTTGAATTTTATACTCGTCAACTGGACAATATTTTCCGCAGTTGTCGATTTCCAGTTCAACAAAATGGTCACTCGCCCCGTCCCAACTCAACATCTGCAAGAGTCAACTATTATATCAAACAGTACACATGTAAATTCAATCAAATATAGTCACAATCGCTCACCCTGATGAAACGTTTATCCATCGTGTCTTTGTAACTCTCTACGATGTACGCGCTGCCGAACGGTGGGACTTTGAACGCGTTGATGATGCACTGGGCCCTTGTGAAAGAAGCCAGAGTCAAGTCGTGGGTGCTGTACAAGTAGATTTTTTTCCGGTCATGGGCATTCGTCTCCACATTCTCAATGACTTTTCTTATGAGTGGGCCACCATTGACTTTCCTCAACTCTCCAGTCAAAGACAAGGTGCCGTACAACAACTCTCGTAAAACGGCAATAGTTTGGTGCACCTCCTCGGTGCACCAGTTCGGGAGTGTTATGTTCAACAACCTCTGCAACCACATAGGAACAACAAATCACTCCAAGGACTTTATTTGGCGTAGGTACGTATGTAATTTATGGCATTACGTGGATTTCTAGCAACATGGCGGTCCATCCGCAAGAGTACAGTACATCGTCGAAGTAGGAATGACCCGTCCAGTTTTCCAAGTGTTTTATGAATTCCGTGTGGTTCGACAAACTTGTTTTGTATTCTTTGGAATGTTCCATGGTTCTTTTGTACAGTTTGATAAATCTGTGAGCGAGAAAATTAATGGGTTTCGTTATTACATGGAAATGCCAAAACCCACAATATTCGACATTTACTGGGCTAATGTACGTACCGTGAGCTTTGATGTGGGGCCAAAATACTATCTGCCGTACTGTTTGTTATCTCATACCTTATTGGCCTCCAGGTCAATTCGGGGAACAACTGTTCCGTTCGCGTGGGGGGAAAAAGGCCCGCCAAAACAAGCTCAAGGGACATTCTTGTGCGATGCGAGGGGGTACTAACAGCCACCACGTCTCGTTTATCGTAAGTGCCCAAGTGCTCGTTGTAATGCTCGCGTAGCAACTTTCCCAGCACATACTCTTGCTTCATCCCTTCCTAAGATTTGCGCGGTTTAATCGGTGTATGAGTAGGTATCGAGAGAATATTATATTTGAACTAGAAAAGTAGCATAGTTATGGACAAAAACGGGTTAAATACTTGAACACCGCACCTTTGATCTTCGTATGGGCGAAGGGTTACTTTGGGAAAGCATGTTTAAAAAAATGAAAGAAAGATGGACTAAAAAGCAAATTAAAGTGAACAAAAGTAGACGAAGACGAGAATAATGTGACACGTGGTATAGTGAACGAAGAGGATGCAGAAAAACTTGTACCAATATGCTTTGCGAGTCGTATAAAATTTACAATAAAAAGTGATGTTTGAATATTATTTTAAAATATTATCTCAAATTTCTTTTTTGTTACATCCATTAAAAAGATTAAAAATAATGTAGCGTTTACTTACTTTGGTTAGCTGTCCAAAATCATATCCATAAATAGACGGATCGGTAATGTTAATGAATTTAGCCTCTTGCTCTAGTGGAGTTCGCACTCCATGTCTGAAAATCTTGTTAATCGTCACTTTTATTGAATCGCAAATTGAGTTATTTTTTCAGTATAGTTTACTCACTACTTGAACAAGATCCAACTCCAAATTACTCTTTTCACCTGCACTTTCATCGGTAGCACTTGAAATTTGAATATAACATGTACAGCATAGCAACAATATCTTAAGCATTTTACAATTTACAGTACCAAACAGAGATAGAATGCGAAAGTCGAGTAGTGTCAATGAGACTCGAGACCTTTTGGTGGATATCCACTGGAGCTAGATAAGACTTCATAAATGATAATAAAACGCCAAATATCAACTTATCAGGGAAGCAAGATTTTTTTTTTCAGTTTAGAAATCGGAGTGTACATTACATAAGACCTGTATAACGCGGTCATTGAAGTCTCGTCTGTATATCTCAAATTTGCCTGGTATACACTTTATCGTCGCTCATTAGCAAAATTTCTAAATAATTTGGTACATCATGTAGTTATTAAAAAAAGCCGGTACACCGAGAGAAAAAAATAATAAAACTTGTAGAGAAACTCCAGTAAAAATTGTCATTCGGTACAGTAAATGTGGTGCAAGTGGGGCAAAAAAGTAAAAAATTATTAGTATTTCGATAGTAAAAATTTCGATGCGGAAA